ATTTCACTGTCTTCTCTGTGGTCTTTTCAACCTGGCTCCACCACTTCCCACAAGCCCTCATTTCTTCCTCACACCATCTCCTCCATGTCACTCTCCGTTTGCACGCCCAACTCGTCGTTTCCCTCTTGGATTCCACTTGATGGGCCGGCCTGGCCCGTGATGTCTCCGAACGGTTTTCTCGGTGTATTTCCAATGCAATCCATTTCATCTTAATTCTGCATATTTGTTGGGCTATAGGTTGTTGGCTGATTCGTTTTTGGAGTTCCCTCTTGCTTATTCTTTCTGGTCATCTGATCTTCAGCAACAAGCAACCGTAGGCGGCATGATGGATGTCTATAGTATGTTGTAAATACTTTCAAAACGCACCACGTTTCTGAACCATACAGAAGCACTGACTTGACGTTGGTGTTGAAAACCCGGGTCTTGTTCACACATTATGCTGAGCGCAGAAAAGTGGAGTGGCACTCTGCAGTGTTGAAGCAACTGCCAAATTACTTCTCGGTCGACGCTGTCGAAGTCCTTCTTAAAGTGGATGTAGTAGAGGTAGAGATTGAGTTGGCTGGCATCCTATGCTCTGTTCTATGATGATGCGTTGTGTAGTGTGACAATTTGATCCATACATGATTTGAACTTCCTAACTTCAGCCTGTTCTGGTCGTGATTTTGCATCCAGAGCATACTTTAGTCCTTCCAGGATGACGTGGCCTAATATTTTGCGACGGGTAGCCAGTGGCATGATTCCTCACCACCTCCTTCAGTGACTTAGGTCAACCTTCTTCGGAAGTTTGACAAGGTAGACCTCCTTCCAATCAACCGATAGGTACCTTCCCTTCCTCCCAAACCTTCTGAAGTGGTGGTGTGGTCTGAGCATGTTCATTGTTGTCTCTGCATCTGTTTTCAGTGCTCTGGTGGAATTCCATCTCCTCCTGCTACTTTCCTGGATTTCAACAACTTTATGGCGTTTAGCACTGCAATCCTGCTTTTGTCGGAGGCCTCGTGTTCACTGGTAGTTCTGTGGCTGGCTCGGCTGCTCGTGGTACTTCTGGACAAGTTTCAGGTGGTGGTGATGGTGATGGTGGTGGTCAATGCAAGAATTTTCTGAAGTGGTCAGTCCATTGTTTCCTTTGTTTCTCCTCTTTGCTAACTAGGTTTCTTTCACCATCACTGATTGGTTTCGTCTCAGTTGATGTCTATCCTCAGAGATAGTAAGCTGGTTATTTGATGTAATGTCGTCAGGTCTCTCATACCAGCATGCAGCCTGTTCTGCTGCAATTGCCAGTGTGTCGTAGAAGTGTTTTTTGACCATACGCGCACTCTTCTTCACTTTTTTGTCCAGTATAGTGTTTTATAAGTTGCATTCATTTCACCTTTTCGTTGTTCATCTCCACACTGCACTGATTCATCTTCAAATAGAAGGAGTAGCAGTCGGATCATTAATAACCAAATCGTAACAGATGAATTTGTAGATTGTTGGGGAAACATGCCTTGACAAACATTAACACCGCACCTGAGATATGGTAGCGATATGTGGGTGACATATCTACTGCTTTGAACTCAGAAGATACAGACTATTCTCTCACACATATCGACTCACCATCAGGTGCAATCCAATTCACTGATGAGAGAGAAAATGAATAAGGAGAATTACCTAAGTTGAATTGAAGGATGAAACGAAGGATAGATGGAGGTTTGGATACTAATGTCTTCAGTGAACCGACACATTTCAACAGGCACCTAAACTTCAAGTCATCTCATCCAATGTCAGTTGAGACAAGCTTAGTCAAATGTCTAAATGATAAAGCTAGAGAACTGACTAGTCAGTGCAGGGAACTAAACAAGCAACTAAAACACATAAAACAAGCTCTAATAGTTAATAATTATCCTCTGCAGCTTATTAAGAAATTCGTGCAAACACACTGGAAGCGAAAGCATAACAGTCACACGAGTAGGAATAGTACCGATAACACAGGTAGAGAGGAGTTCACAACCACCATCATCACATTCAATACGGAATGTACATTGGAAGATTTATATCTAATTTTCAATGAGTCTGCAATCAGATTGGCATTTAAACCTGGTAACTCACTCCGACACAAACTTAGTCGGCTGGCCTAAGGATGCGATAGAACCAATTCAGTAGAATAATGGAATCTAATAAATTCCATGTAGTGATAGAGAGGTGAAGTTCATACGTTGAAGTAGCCGGTTGGGTTCAGTTAGAATAGCGGAACAAAGTAACTTAGTTAAATATGGCATGAACAAACTGAATAAGATCAATAATCTAGAAGGAAACTTGGGTGTTGCAATCCATGGATTAACACACAACCACCGTTCTCAAATCCAATACAGTCAGGTTGGATAATTGTTCTTCGAATCAACCAACACCCAACACATATAAAAGGAATGACGTACCACCTATACCAGAGATACGGAAAATTTTATACGCAATAAAAACAAAGAAAATCAAGTGCCGACAGGACCATCATAGTCAGATTTAGAAAGTGGAGTGTGATGACACTGATATGATTATTACCAATGATAACTTATTGTGGAAACGTGGTCCTCAGATGAATAATACTAGATCACTGTGTGTTATAAATCAAATAAACAAATCTAATATGGAATGTCGAATTCTACCATAGTGTTTAAGTTTCACACCTGTATGGATGCGACAAATTTTGTTTTTCTACTTTACAAGTGGATTTCCTCTATAAGCGATATCATGCTTTGACTGATCCATTGGTATAATGATTTAAATCACAGAAATATCCTCTATTATGTTCTCAAGAACTGGAGCGGAATCATGCTCCTATCCACCCAAAGCAAGTAGAATATTAAGTCGCACCATCGTGGAGAGACTAAAGGATGTGCCGGATTCGAAACTACGACCGGAACAAGCTGGCTGGAAGACTTCAGGAAAAACAAATCATGTGTGGATCAAATTGAATTGCTACGCTAAGTAGCATCATAGAACAGAGGATAGAATGCCAGTCAAGTCATTCTCTACCTCTATTACATTCACTTTAAGAAGAACTTCGACAGAGTCGACCGACCACATTCAACAACTGTATGCTATACTATGCTACATGCCAAGTGATCCACAACGGAAAACTCAGTGAAGCCTTTAAAAGTGAAGTGAAGACAGGCAGGAGTAAGACAAGGCTGCCACCTACTATCACCCATCATCTTCTTGATTGTGGTGGACTGGATTATGCAACAAATTGTAAGTAGCGAGAAGAGGGAGATATGCTGAACTGCGGAAAAAATCCTGGAAAATTTGAATTTCGCCAACGATGACTTGTATCTAATTTCGCACAAACTGGAAGATCTACAGGCAATAACTAACAAGTTGAAAGAAGAGGCAAGGTGGGGCACCGAATACACAGCTTCAAGTGAATGTATAGAAGACAGAGGTGATGAAGATACCCAACCAACGACAGCATCAGTAAAAAGAACCAATCGCCAAGAACGGGAGAAACCTAAACGTGGTGGTCTCTTTCACCTACCTCGGTAAGGTAGCATCGTTCCAACTACAGGTGTCGGCACAGACGAGGACGTCAAAACCAAGATGGGAAGACAGAAAGACAGGCGTTCATTAATTTGAAACCAGTGTGGAGATCTTTTGAACTCAGCATGTCGAACAAGTTCCGGATTTTCAACACTAATATCAGTCAAGTCAGTGCTTGTGTATGGCTCAGAGACTTGGCGCTTTATGAAAGGTATTTCCAACAAACTACAGATATTCATCAACAACTGCCTACGCTGGCTCCTTACTGAAGCTCAAATGGCCAGATTAATGAGAATAAGCAGCAAGAAACTCTGACTAGCTGGCTGGCTAGCTGGCAACGAACCAGCCAACAACCTATCACTGATTAAATATGCGGAAGGAAGTGTAGGTGGATTGCGCATGCACTGAGAAGACCATTCGGGGACATCACGTGCCAGGCCAGCCGTCGAGTGAAACCCAGATGGGAAACGGCGAGTTGCGCGTCCCAGCTGCTTTTGACATTAGGGAGATGGTGTGAAGAAGAAATGAGAGCTTGTTGGCAGTTGTGGGTCCAGGTTGAAAAGATTGGAGAGAAGGTAGTGGAATAGAGGTGTGCTACTGAAGCGGTATATTCTACTTGGAACCCAACTGACAAATAATCTAGAAGAATCCTTCAGTCTGCAGACTATTATTATTATTATTATTAGTCCCTTGGGTTCCTAGTGGAACATAGGGCTTCAGTAGCACGCCTCCATCGACCTCTGTTCTCTGAGATCTTTTGAACCTGGTTCCACGACAGCCCAGAAGCTCTCATTTCCTGCTCGCACGACCTCCTCCATGTCACCCTCGGACGTCCAACTCGTCGCTTCCAATGGGGATTCCACTCGAGCAACTGGCCTGACGCGTGATGTCCTCAGTCGGCCTTCTCAGTGCATGGCCAATCCATCTTCACTTCTTCCTGCATATTTGTTGCGTGATAGGTTCTTGGTTAGTTCGTTCCCAGACTGCAGACTAGTAATTTACTAATTTCATGTTTACCAAACATCCTACAGATTAGTAAAAAAATGGTTGTACATATTGGATAGCATGTATTCAAAGGAATATTTTTCGATTTTATTAATGTACAAATAGTTTTATGAAATGAATGATGCATAGATGAATACTAGAGAAATAGAAAGACTTTGTATGAAGAAATGTGGAGATATGAGCTACTTTAAAGGCCACTCACTCAATCATATTTCTCAATTCCACTAGAAATTGTCTACCCAAAGAAAATACCGCAACCTGATTGGTTATTTTGGTAGTTGTTAGAGTGGCTTTTAAAGTTGCCCCGAGATATAGATAGATAGATATATACAAGAATCAAGATGATAAATGTAGTCATTTGTATACGAAAATACATACAGAGACATGCACATACACACACACACACGCAGACACAGACACAGAAATACACCGTGAGGATCCATTATGAATTAGTACACATGTACAGTTGGATGCATAAAGAAAATGAATTAACTTGTTGTTGTTCTATTGAAGTTTACTAGTTGTTCACGCAGTTCATTTATTTCTTTTCTATAATTCTGTATTACATTCATCTAGATTTAGAAGAGGACAAAAAAAAAAACCCGATTGATAACTAAGAAGGAAACATGAAAAAAATATTCCAAATGATAAAATGTTACTTAGTTGGTCAACAAAAATAATACTTATGGATAGGAGGTATCTACAACTTCAGGGTAACCAGTATCCCCTTTGAGACACGAATCATCATCATCACCATTTAGCTGTTCAACCCTTGATTAATTTTCTCTTGGCTGCTATCTACTAATCAGTCAGTATACAGACTAGTTAGTGTGTTTCCGTTGCTTACATTTCTCAACAAGGTGTTAGTATAAACTAGACGAAGGTTACTTTCTGTCATTCCTTCCAGTCAGCATAAGTAAGAGTCTAACTTTGAAATGTGTTATAGTGTCTGATAACTAGTTCACTTTTATACAGTAGTTGAAGTTTACAGATGAAAAATTCAGAAAAAAGTATTACAAGTTAACCTCTTATAAAAAGATATACTTACTAGAATGGTTTCCCATCTATCAGCAAATTGGTCTAAAGCTTCTGATAAATGAGTACTAACATCACTCCTATTCAATAAAAATCAAGAAGACAGGAAATATAAGTTAATTAGTCTGTAACACGTTTATTTTTAAATCTTTTAACCATACTAAATAAATAAGACTCATACTATATAAAATAGAGAGTCTTCTCTAAGTGAATGAATTCAGCACTTTCATGATATGTAACATTTAAGGGGTTTCAGTAGGGCAACATTATAACCTGTTATACGGCAGATACTTGTTCATAGGATTCTTTTGCATCTTGAAACACTTACCATATGATTGATTATATACGTCAACTTTGTAGAATATATGAGAGCTGAACATACAATAGAAACTGGAGTGTATTGTTATTTGTTAATCTTATGTAAATGTCTTGCTGGTTTTGATATGGATTAGAGAACCACTAAAGAGTGAAGACCTTTTTCATTCCTATTTTGAACTGCTTAGCAGTCCTCATGTATGACTCAATGAGGGGTCAGACCCAAGACTGTGAAGTCTTTGAATGACTTGTATGTATGAAAATAATTACCCTACAGTCGATAAATTCCAGCTGAATTGATAAAATGGAGGTAGATGAAACAACTCGCGTATCACATACTTGTTTCTGTTAGTAACTTTAAACAAAACAAGAAAGGACGCTACATAAGTAAGTTATAATATAATGATTAAATCAGAGTCGGTACCTAACTTCTTCCAGGACATTCGTAAGATTCCCGGAGATGAATTAGATTCATTTTCTTTTTCTAAATCCCTACGTGTTACACATAACTTCAATTTGTATTTATTATCCAGCTTATTTTGATCCCTTACTAGAAGTTATTATTACGTAATGTTTTATTCTTTTCACTAGAAGGCAGGTGGATCCAGGCGACAAGTCCCAAATAGAATACAGTGAGAATCCCAGATTCCATTACTAGCCAAAATTCATCAGTTGAACCTTCTCCTAATTTCTTTACGAATGTGGAGCTAAAAAAATGTGTCTATGGAGAAGAAAAAACAGTATTAGTAATAGTAATAATGTCAAGACAGACTTTAAATATGTAGAAATAAGAGGAGATTTGAAATTCAGGATTAACAGTAACATTGTGAGTGAGTCAAGGAAACACGGGAATAACAATTACAAATCTTAGTGAAAATCAATGGCAATTTATACGCATGTGATGAGATAGAAAATTATTCTGGAGCTGTGGAGTGTGGGGGAGAGGGAAGACAACAAACGGAAACCAGTGTAAGAGAAGGGACTGTTTAAGAGCTAATAGGTTATGCAATTACACGAAAAACTGGGAAATCGTTAAGTAATTAATATTTAGTAAATAATAAATGAAGAGATGATGCAATCAAAGTAAGCATGGAAAAGAATTTATTGAGAGACCAAAACATCCAAGTGTTGAGAAGAAGCCAATTTTCCTTCATCTACCGTTCGAAGGTGATGAGACATGTGGAAGAATAGACAAAAGAATAAAAGCTGCACTGAGAGGGGGATTCCCTGCTACCAGACTGATCTCAGTTTACAATACATTAAGCTCAATAACACAGTCAAAAGTAGACAAATAACCATTTCAGCTTCAACAGCATACATCGATCCACCCATGGTTGTGGAAGCAAGTACATAGGACGGACTGAAAGAAGGGCATCTACTCAGTTTTATGAGAACATTCCGAGAGATTTGTGTCTGAATGGTGGCAAAGTCTTTAAAAGAGCAATCTCTAGGCATCTGATGGAAACAGGACATTGACTACATATTTCTCAATCCTTCTGGTTAATCAACAAACGAACGGTTTGCGGAAACTCTATCATCCATTTTCAATCTGACCAATGTGCTCACAAGGAGACTTTAATTAACCTTTCTTTGCCTTGGTATAATTTTTTCTTTGCATCATTTCTTTAATTGCTTACTGAAGATTAATCACTTGACAATTTTCAAGTCTTTCATAAAATTACGCAACCTCTTTTGGATTGTGTTCTCTGAACTGGGTTGTTGAAACATTTGGCTTTCATCGTCCTTCTAGACGATATCATCAGCACTAACTTCAGTATGAAGTGAGCTGTCAATATGTATCCATCAGTGTTTCAGTAGCTTGCCTTGACGAGGCAGTCTGTGATTGGTTGTTTCCTTTGATTGTTGTGTCATTGACTGTGAAGATTTTCCCGTTGGCTGTCTCTCTGCTTGACCTCTGACTTTTCTGTCGTCTATCGTCTTTTTTATTGGTTGATAGATTGGGTCTATGTCTATACACCTATTGGTTGCTGACTAACCTGAATGCCAAGCTTCTAGGAATTCAGTGATATTTTTTGTGTTTCCTTTCTCTTTCCAACATTTCTACATTCACGAAATTGAATTCATGTCCATAATTATCCATATGCTTTGAAATGAGTGATGAAATGTCATATGTGACGTTTAATAGCCAATTGGTGTTCATGTAGATGAAGGCGAAGAGGGAGACCACTTTGCCCAATGTAGTATTGACTACAGTTATTCCAGTTGATTTTGTAAACGATATTCGGTTTTATGTTCCTTGGTTGTTGCATCCTTTGGTCTGCATAATAGTGTTAGGAGGGAATTTGTTGGTTGATGAGTGGCTACACTAATTCCAAGTGGTCTCAGTAATCTTGTCGTGATTTCTGATGCATTCAGTGGCACAACAATCAAAGGAAACAACCAATCATAGACCACTTCGTCAAGGCAAGCTACTAAATCACTCATGGAGAGATTTTGGCAGCTCACTTCATACTAAAGTTAGTGCTGATAACATCTTCTAGAAGAAGGACAATGGAAGTTTCACGATTAAACAACCCAGCTCAGAGAACATAATACAACCAAGACCATCCACTTGAGCTACAAATATTCTCCACTATTTCAATTACGCAGCGTATTAGTTCTTAAGCAGTCCCTTCTTTTACACTGACTTTTGTTTGTTGTCGCTCCTCTCCCTACACCCCACAGTTCCACAATTTTCTATCTCATCAGATGTGCATAAATTGCCACTGATTTTGAGTAAGATTCGTAATTAATAATCCAGTGTTTCCCTGATTTACTACCTTATGGTTAATCCCGTATCTAAAAGTATATCATATCATTATTACTACTAATGATTATTCATTTCAGTCATAGGCTGCTCACGGCTGATGAAAAGTGATGAGATAAAATGAGCTCATTATATTCTACAAATGTCTTGGTTATTAGATTGCTTAAACTCCTACAATTCATTTGTAATCCTGATTTTTAGCTTATAGTATCTTCGCCTTATGTATTACTGTTAAATACAGTTAATCTAATCTTCTTACTTAGCATAAGTGAATACTGTGTCTTTATTTGACTTTTACCTCACATTTTACTCTTCTATTTCCGCTGGAATTTTCTTGATAACACACTGGGCTACAGTCGCCCAGTATGCGGATACTTTTCTATTCACCTTTTTGAAACGAATCACGCAAATATTCAGTGTGAAACTACCAAGAGTTGGCTGTTAAACATTGTTAATTTTCATCGTATGTGCATTTTTACTTGTGTAATCCCAGGGTGGGGAGCAAGTATCAACGTTACGCTACGCATCATCATAGTACAGAACATAGAACGTCAGCCAATTGGATCTCTACCTCAACTTCATCCACTATGAAAAGGCATTCGGTACCGTCGATATAGAAGTAATTTGGCCGCTACTTCAATGGTATGGAGTGCCACAAACCTTTATCAACCTCAATCAATAGCTACATGCCATATGATGCTACATGTGAAGTGATTCACAACGGAAAGCTTAGTAATGCCCTTGAAGTGAAGACAGGAAGAAGACAAGGATATCACCTGTTACCATCACTGATCGTCTTCCTGATTATGGTTGAATCGACTCGACTGCAATGAATCATGCAGCTAATTGTGAGGAGCGAGAAGATGGGCACACGATGTTTGACCGATGGAAAGATACAAAAAGATAATTTGGATTTCTCCAATGATGGTTTATGTCTGATGCCTTGTCGCACAAACTTGAAGATCTGCAAGCAAAAACCAACAAGTTGGCAGAATAGGCAAGGCGAGGCAGTGAAGATGGGACTTCCATCACGTGAACGTAGAGAAGACACTAGTGATGAAGATGCCCAACGAACAGCAATGACAACAACAACAAGCGGCATCAATTAATATCAACGGTGGAAATCTAAAAGAAGTTGTCTCTTTCATCTACCTACCTACCTAGGCAGCATCCTGTCAACTACAGGCAGCTGTACAGATGAGGATGTCAAAGCCAGGATCGAAAAGACAGCAAGACAGGCCTTCAATAGCCTGAAAATCGTATGCAGATTCACTGCACTGAATTCCACTCAGCATGAAATGTGAACAAGATCCGGATTTTAAACACTCATGTCAGTCAAGTCAGTGCTCCCATGTCATGGTTGAGAGACTTGAAGTGTTACGAAAAGCAGTTCCAACAGACTGCACACACACACACACACGTCATCAACAGCTGCTGTCTATGCTAGCTCACTCGATACTGAAGATCAAATCAGATGAGCAGACGAGAAAGAATAAGTAAGGAGGAACTCACTCTGGCCTGCCAAGGAACCGACCATCAACCCATCGCCCAACAAACATGCAGAGGAAAGTGGAGATGGATTGGATTGGTTTGGATATACACTGAGAAGACGGTTTGGTGACATCACACGTTAGGCAAGACCAGGCCATCGAGTGGAACCTGAAAGAGAAACGATGAGTTGGGTGTCCGAGGTTGACATAGAGGAGATGGTGTGAGAAAGAAATGAAAGCTTGTAGGTAGTGGTGGAGCCAGATTCAAAAGACTAGGGAGAAGAGAGTGAAATGGTGACGTGTTACTGAAGCCCTATGTTGGACTAGAAACCCAAATAAGAAATAACAATAACCGCTGCGTAGTATATTAGAACAAATAACAAAACAAAGAAATATTTTGTGGACTATTCCTCAACGTTTCGATTATGCTAGGAAGATCCTTTTCAAGATTATGAATTTGACATTAGGTTTTCATGTTGATATTCAAGTTTTGATACAGAAGGTGGTT